CTAAAAAGTGATTGACCTTGCTTTTAGTGAATAGATTTTTTTCATCTGATGCAATATGACATAGGTAAATCCAATTCACTGACAGCTTAAGCGCGTTGAAACCAATGGGAGTCTGTTGGCCTCAGTGGGTTTTGGGTTAGTTCTTGAGGCAGCTGGAATCTGGTGACCCAGGTCATTTTCAGCTTGGTCATCTGCCTTTGTATAAAGTGATTAAGTTAAGCACAAAATCCTCCCTTTGTAATATGATTAGCGCATCTCCCAACAAAAATTCATGAATATAATAAAACAATCTTATGTGTTGTATTGATTAAATACAGCCAAATATTGAAAAATTGATTTTATTTCTAAATATTAAGGCTTTGCAGCTGTACTAAACATGGCTTAACAAATGATGAATAGCTTTTGTGCCAATACTGCATTGGAGAGCAGGCTTAACTCTGTGTTTTGGGTTTTTTTGTAGATGGAAAGCGACGCAGGATAGAAGAACCAGTCAAGTGCACATTGGTGCAGACTAAAGCAAAAGCTTCTGAAAACTTGCAGTTCTATAAGGATAAAGTACAAAACTGCCATTTCCCTTTATTGAAAAAGGAGGCTGCAGCTTGCCACCAATTAAAGAAAAATAAAGAGAAACGTTTAACTGAACAAGAGAGAGAACGAACTTCAAAGCAGAAGCACACGTGCCTGACCATGGAAGATTGGGACTTGTTGAATACCTATTGATGTAGACAGATTTCCCTTTTTTTCTGGTGGTAAAGTTGTTAGAAGTATCAATATGAATTTGTGTATGGAGAAAGGAGACTGATATTTTTTAAAACAGCAGTGGCATAGCAGCAAATTATAGCTACTCGTGTTGGGAGAGGGGAGTGCTAGACCCAAGAGGTGGAGTGATGATCATTCTAATGTATATTTTCTATACATAATTTTTTCAAATAAATTTTGTTGTTACCCTTAACTAATGCCTGTGACATGCATAACACATTGAGGGAAATGGTTCTCCTTAAGTCTTGCTCTGTACAGCATCCCCAGTGGCAGAAACTGATTATCACTTAGCCCGACTGCCTCTTCTGCTCAGTAGCACTCTACACAACACTACCAGCAGTTTAGAACTTGAAACTTACTTGGGTTGAGAGATTCTAGTTAGTCAGGTTCTACTGCTAGTAGAAAGCATTGTGGGCGTCATAGTTTGAAGTCATCACTATGGTAAGCAAGTATGAGTCTGACTAATCTGTTTGTAAAGTGTCATTTGATTGTAATGGTGCTATACTAATCCTTATCTAGGTAGTACATACAGCTCACAGGGTGAGGTGTACCCAAAGTGCTGTGGATAGACCCTAACAAAGAAAGGAGAATAAATTTATGGGAGGGGTGAAATATGAAGTTAAGTAACAGCTAATTTCCGGGAGAAAATTACTTTGGAATCAAAATTGTAACATGGAAGTGGGGAAAACATTGCAGTTTGGGGAGTTTCAAGATTAAACTCTGTTTTACTCTGCTTCTCTGAATTACAATGGTAGAGTTTGTTCTCTTTTTATAAACCAATCAATGGCACTTTACACTTGTCAAGAGCCTTTTGTGGATTGAAACATGTTTAAGCATGTAATTATCACTATCTAAAAACATTTATATAGAAAAGTATTGCTATAGCTATGGGTAGGGTTGAAAACATGTTCAATTGATCTACTGCATCTAAAACAGTTCTAAATTATTCTACGTAAGTCCAGTGGAACCTCCTAACTCTAGTTACCTTGAGGTCTGTCTGTCCTGCAAACACTGAAGCTAAGAATTTCAGTAGTGATTGTAGATGCCTAACTTAACACCTTAAAGTTAGGCACCTAAAAATGGAGGCACCCAGAATTACTAATGACTTCTGAAAATTGTGGCATGATTAAGGCCAAAATTTTACTTCAGTTTGTTTCTTCTAGTAGCACTTAGATATCCCTCTGGTAATTCTTTCAAACAGCTGTTTGCAAGCCAGACACACACAAGAAGTGCATCCTTGGAATTTGTAAGCAGAGTTTCTTTGTTTGGGGGTCTTTATTTCAACCTGCTAAAAAGACAGCAATATACAGTATACCCACATTCTGTTTGTTGTTCTACTGACATATTTTGCACTCGAGTCACTACAAAACAAGGATTGTAAAAACAAAGTAGATTTACATGCACGTACCGTCCAGGAGAGAGTCCCAGCACCATCTGGCTTTCTTAGGGTCTCTCTGCGGGGCATGGATCAGCGTTCCCGTCACACTCCCCGTCAGTACCCAGCCCAAGCCAAGGAAGCTAGTGATCCAACCAATGGACCAAATTCAGTGATGAATCCTGGTCATGTGCCACCCTGAGGCATGTTGTGCATATGCTAAGAAGGTGGTCTCTCCATCTTGTGCAAAGGTACTACAGTATTTATACTCCTATGCCTTTCTCCATCACATGTTGCCAGAAACTAGGGATACTAACAGTGGCTGCCATGTTGGACAACATTTACCATCCTGCCTTGTTCTCAGAAAGACAATGGCTGGAACCACCAAAAGCACCTGCTTCCTCACCACCAAGGAGCCCATGAAATTGGCCTTGGGTCCTAAAGCCAATGTTGGCTTCTTTATAAATGCCCTGAGACTACTTGCTCCCTTTTAATGACTATTCCCAACCGTTTACAGAGGCAAAGCTGGAACAGGGTAGTACTAGACATGGAGGGTTTTTCCCCCTTCTAAGCCTCCAAATTCTGTGCACCCCCCTGCACTTAGGTCAAGGATCTAACAGATGAAACTATGTGCATGATACGATGGAAGACAGACAGAGTCTTATACTTAGATTTGTCATGGTCATGTAGAGTGAAGTCTGACCAAAAAACAAACAAACCACAGGGTTGTTTTTAAAAATAACAGCTAAATTCTCTTTTTAAAATAAAGGCTTCAAGGCACTATGTACCTCTTACGTTCCCAGCCTCAACATCGGTCACTAACCCTTCTCTTCTCATCCTGGCACTTCTGCTCTTTGGGACTAACAGATGTCATGGCTGTAACTCACCAGCAGTGGAAATCAAAGTAGATGGGGTTCAAGTTTTTTACCACTATGTCATCTAATCCTACTATGGCTTTCAGGGGTGACGAGTTAGAGTTTTGGAGTTGGCTAGTGTAGACACAACCTTGTAGTTTAGGGAGTGATGCTTTAGCCTCCTACTCTCTTTGGGTTGACCCTGCAGGTAACATACTAATTCCCATTCTGATACACATGTCCTCATTGTCATATTTAGTCATCTTAAGGGACATCTGTACATCTAGTTATTTAGGTTTCTTTATTGGGAATGTTAAAAATATTTGAGGAAACGAGCATCCAGATGTAAGCATAGTGTAAAGCTAACTCCTGTGTTTGATCTATGGATATTGATATCTGACCATCTAGGAACCTCTGTATACCCCACTAATTCTGGTACACTGCCAACTACTGATGAAACTGAGGAGAAGCGATGTAGTTATTGGTTAGGTAAACTCCCGCTGAATACAAGTAGACAGTACTATGTGATGAAGTTCAGAGTCCTCTCACTGGGAAAAGTTACTCAGCCTTCTGGTCTTCTCTCTTATCCCTCTCTACAAAACTACATTCTGGTATAATCCTTCATGAAAGCTAAATTCATTCTTAAAAATGACGGCACAGCACAGGTCTACATGTTAAATTGCTATATGCTACATCCACTAATAATGTAAACAACAATCTGTCTCTACAGTTAAGACCAAAAACTTCCCCCATTAATATTACCTCAGCTCTTGTGGACTAAAGCAGTGTTTTGCAACAACCCGTCTGTGGACAGGTGCTGGTCCCTGAGATCTCCCTGACAGTTTAGGAAGGCAGCAAGCGGTTTCCTGGTATCAAAAAGGTTGAGGAACACTGTTCTAAAGCCACCCAAATAAACCCCCAAAGCCAATCCTGCTAATATACAAATTCTTGGAAGAATTAAAACGAGTGTGATAATATATTTAGGGTGATTTCATATTCTAAACTGTTGTGGGGTAATTGTTTTGCACTGCTAAAAAACTGCTCCTCTTCATCAGTGCGTGAATAAACTACATATATAATTCTGGTCAGTTCAAGATTAGAGAGTTCTCTGGGCTTGAAACATTCTATACTGATGTGCGTTATTCTTTGGTGATAGTTGGCTGCCCGCTGCATTGACTGAAATAATTTCTGGTACTATTATTGTCACAACTATATCAATGGTTCTCAACCAAAGGTCCGTGTACCTCTGCGAGTACACAGAGGTCTTCTGGGGGTATATCAACTCATCTAGATGTTTGCCTAGTTTTACCCCAGGCTACATAAAAAGCACCAGCGAAGTCAGTACAAATTAGAGTTTCATACAAACTTGATTTTACTGCTGTATATACTATACACTGAAATGTAAGTACAATATTTATATTCCAATTGATTTTAGAGTTATTGGTAAAAATGAGAAAGTAAGCCATTTTTCAGTACTAGTGTGCTATGGCACATTTGTATTTTTATGTCTGATTTTGTAAGCAAATAGTTTAAGTGAGGTAAAACTTGGGGGCACATAAGACAAATCAGCCTCCTGAAAGGGGTACAGTAGTCTGGAAAGGTTCAGAGCCACTGCTCTATATCCTCTTCTTTCTGAAACTCCTACTTTTTTCCCCTCCCTCTGCAGTCTACCTGAGCAATAGTGTTAGCCACCCACCATCCCTTGTTTCCACACACAGATTGGAAGAAAAAAATATTTTCCTGAGGCATAATTTACTCCAGAATTGTTAGCAAAGCTAAATTCCATACACTGCCTTGTGTTAGCACTCTGTGCAGACAGTGTAGCCTAGTGAGAACTTGAATGATATATGCAAGGGTGCTATGCTGCTTTTGTATTGTTACATGAGGTTGTTCTCAGGGAGCAACATATGTCAAAAATCAGAATTCCACCCCTCTCCTCCTATCCGTGACATGCCCTCCAACTCTAGTCCATCCACCCTTTAGTCTCTTTTTTGTCATATCCCTCAAGATATACTTCTTCCACGATGCTCACAAGAAACAAGTCTATAATGAAGAAATACTTAAAGAGCCATCTAGAAATATATATGCTTAAAAGCTAGTTACCTGGTTAGGCTTACTGCTGTAAACCCTATCCTTTCCCAGCCTGCTCCCGGTCTACTGATTATGATGCCAGAGTTTGGCATCATGTCTAAAATAATGCACTTGGTTCTTATTTGTTCTATAAAATACCTAGAACACTTTTAGGTGTTGTAAAAATACTGAATAAGTAGTATAAGAGCATAAAAATTGCCCAGAAAGATCAAAACAGTGGTCCCTCAAGGCCAGGATCCTGTTTCTAACAGTGGCCAGTATCAGACACTTAGAAGAAGGTACAAGAAACCCTGTAGTAGATAGTTACAGGGTAAGTCTTCCTAACTCCCTTTAGTTAGTGACTGGTTTATGCCCTGTAACATCAGGGTTTATGTGTCATCCATATAAGTGACAACCCATTTTTTGAAACAAGCTAAACTCTTGGCCTCTGCAGTATCTTGTGGCAATGTGTTCCACAGGCTAATAATGTATTGTGTGATAAACAAGCCATTTTTATCTTTTAAAAATATGCTGCCTTTCTATTTCCTGGAATGCTCCCTGGGATGCAGCACATTTTAGGTGCAGCTCACTTGTACGTATGACATTGGGAAAAAATGCATGAAACCTTACGTGAAACATTTTTCATTATGGGCACCTTCAAGCTGTCACAAAGCATAACATAAGCATACATAAGCAAACAGCCTAGGACTTTAGAACCCAACTAGGACCTGATCCAACTTCCACTGAAGTCAACAAGATTCCGTTGAATTCAAAGGGAGCTGAACTGAGCTCAGATGTAGAACAGAAAGGTCAGCAGTGTTATCTCCACATCCTCCTCTTAAGAAGTGTGCAAACATTATTCCCTATAGATTGCC